CAATGATTATTAATGACATTATTTAAATTCAATTCAAATCTTTATACTTTTTCGTAAATAAATTATTTTTGTCTTATTTATTATTCATTTGAATTCTCAAGTGAATTTTTTACAAACAAAAAAAATGTTCTAACTGACACCCGTTCGGATTTTTCCAGTTACCATTAAAACCACAAATAACTTTTTTATTTTATTGATAGTATATAATTATTTTTTGAAAATTAACCCATATATCTACTTTGGCTAAATTAGGATCAAATTAATTAAATTACAAGCTATGGTCATTATAGCTCATTTTAGCCACGCTAAAATGAGTTATAATACTGAACCAACACAATGTAATGCCTTTTTATTAAAGTATTAAAGCAATCTATTATTAAAAAATATCTTTTTACCTAACTCTAAGCTAGAGGTCTATGCTAGTATAAATTATAAATTGTTTACTATTTTAAATTAAATGCTATTTTTTGCTATTTGGTATGTACCTTCGAAGTTAAGAACACGTGCCCCTTATTCCGAACGAAAACTTAACTTTTTCAAATTAAAAAAGAACAGCATTTTCATTATCAATATAAAAATTTCCTGATATGGTTCGATTCAGTTTAAGTTTATTTATGTAAAAAAATTAATTTGAAATTTAAAAACAAAGCGGAGTTATTCAACTTTAAGTGGCTGTTTATATGAGCCGGGCTAGCCCTGTTAACCGGGCTGTCTCACTTCGGTGAGATGAATATTGTTATTAAGTTTATATGAATTTTTTCCAGCCCGCTAAACCGGGATGAAATATTTGTTTACATCACGTGCACAGTTAAAATAATTAAAAGCTGAAAAATGGATTCCTTACCATTACATAAACAAATTCTTACCTTTACAACTTTAAAAATGATCAATATACAAGTTATTAATATTCAAATTTATCTTTTACAATTTACAATGGCTATTAAAAAGAAAAGGGATTTTAATCAGCTAATAATTCTTGATTTATTGAGTTCTTGACGTCGTATTTTAAGAAGATTAAAATTAGCTAAAAAAAACAGGAAAAAAAGAAGCTGTTGGTTCTATATTGGACGCACAGATTTGTGGTGGCAAAATCTCATATTAAACATTACACCTAAAGAACCTTATAAAAAAAAACTTTCGATTAGATAAAAATTCCTTTTTTGAACTTGTCTCCCTTCTTGAACCTTATATATCTCCAGATTGGCGCTAATTTACATCTCTACCCCCCAATTTTTATTTTTGATTATGATAGAGTATTTTATCCTGATTAAGAATTGTATAAAAGCATAAGTCTGAAAATCAACAGTTAGTGTTCTAGTTCGATGTTGAAGTTTAAAAAATTACACTAAAAAACGCTAATATTCGCCATTTTTTAAAAAGGTTTTATATCAAAGTTTACATTTAGAAATCCATCATTTAGAAAATCTTTTTTTAATTATGCAACCCGGTTTTTATTGTTGCCAAAATTAAATTATATTTAAATTTAAATAAATTTTTTATGAATATGTTTTTTATTAAATTTTCAAAAATTAATTTAAGATATTGCTTTTTAAAAGTGCATAAATCGACTGACAAATGGATTGGCGCAATTAAATGTACATGTATCAACTGAAAAATAGGGATTGGCGTAAATGAATGTACATACATCGACTGACAAATAGGGATTGGTGCAATTAAAGGTACATGATTTGGGACAGGGTTAGGGTTTGGGCCAGAAATCAATAAGAAAATGATAAGGTACGCATTTTTTAACAGTTTTGCTTTAAATTGTTGATAGAAACCAGGTTTTTTAAGGTCATCTTATGAAAGGATTTTAATTATAATCGAGTGTAATTTTTTAAACTTCAAAATCGAATTAGAGCACTTTCTGTTAATTTTCAGATCTATGTTTTTAAACGATTCTTAATCAGGATGAAATTCTCTATCATAATCAAAAATAAAAATAGGGGGGTAGAGATGTAAATTAGCGCCCTCCAGATTCTTACTCACCAAATATAAAAGCAATCACACCAGATAAAAAAGTTGCTATAACGCTATACTATTTAAAAGACAGTGGTACATTGAACATGACAGTAATGCTATTGTAAAGTATATAGGACCAAGGTTTGTTAATTTACCAAAAAATAAACAGCAAATAAGAGAAAAAATATCTGAGTTTGAGTCAAAGTTTGGAATGATTCAAGCCTTTGGTTGTGTTGATGGCACTCACATTCCCATTGTTTGTCCAACTAATCATTCTCAAGATTATTTTTGTTACAAACAATACTATTCATTACAGGTTCAAGCAGTTTGTGATTACAAAGGCAGTTTTTTGGATGTTGAATGTATGTAGCCTGGTAGTGTGCATGACGCTAAAGTCTTTTCAAACTCTTCTATTAATACTAATTTGAGAAGTTCAAGACTTCCAGGAACCTTTCAAACTATTACTAAGAACAAAATAAAAGTTCCATGCTACCTAATTGGAGATCCTGCATATCCACTACTTCCACATTGTATGAAAGAATATAGTACATGCAAGAAAAATGATGAAGTCATTTTTAACAGTATGTTGAGGACTGCACGCAACCCTATAGAATGTGCTTTTGGTCGACTTAAAGCACGTTGGAAAATTTTGACCAAAAAAATGGATTTAAAACTTGAAAAAATTCCAACAGTAATTTATGCATGTTTTATTTTACATAACTTTTGTGAACGACACAGTATCTGCATTGATGAAGAGTTAGTAAAAATACAAGTTGAGGTAATAAATGAAAATAAAAAAAATTTTAGAAATTTACCAGATCCAATTTTTTCTTGTATTGACGGTGAAGGTGAAGTTATTCGCAAAGCATTAACTGAGTACATTAGTGAAAATTATGTTCAAAAGCAAACTGTTTTCACAAAATAA